AAAAATTATGTAAAAATAATGGATTTAGTTATATCGTTTATTAAATTTGGTAAATAATATTAAGTGAATTAGAAATATGGCATTTTTTGTAGATATAGACATGTTCCACAAATATTTGAAAATGCATCTTATTTAATTTATATTATGAAAACGAATGTTAACTTACATTTATTTTATGAAAAATAATTTATATTAAATGTATAAAATAATTTTCTAGCTCTATTTTAAATATTTATAATCTCACTATTTTAATAACAAAATGCATTTTGACCGTTTATAAAAATTAAAATATTAAATTTATTTATTCTTTTAAATTTTTTAATTAAGACCAATTTTCTAGCCTTATTTTTTTTAAATAAAGTTTCAAATAAAACTTTTTTAAACAATAAAATTACTTTTTATTGTGATTTTTTCAAACAATTTCTTGTAATTTAATTTATGCCATACTTTTAACAATCTTTATTACAATATTGAAAAAAAAAGTAGTTATGAATTTAAAAAGTTATTTTCAACAAATTATAGTTTCCAAAAATCGTAAAAATATTCCTTCATCACAAAATGACACGTTTTTATACTAATATGGAAGATTATTATATTTTTTGGACACTGATAGTATTAATATAATTGCTAACTCTTAAAAAATATTATAAAAGAAAATTTATAAAAATAACAGATAAAATATATGTCAATTTGTAATATAAATTTAGGTTTAATGAATTTATTTACTCCAGCAAAAATAGTTTAATTTTCAAATAATTGTAATATATAATTTTAATTTAAGTTTGATAACTTTATTTATGCCACCACAAACAGTTCTTTTTCAAAATTTAAAATTAAATAGATAAATAAAATTTATAACTTTTTTGAATATAAAATTTTTTTGAGTCATATTAAAATGGAAACAAAATAATTAACGACATAATTTTATATATAGTATAAATTCAATTTAAACTTTAAAATTTAATTTTTTGTAAATAGTTTCAAATTGTATTTATAAAAACGTATTTACTTCATTTGTATATATATAAAAAAATCCAGCCAGACAAAATCAGATGATTTTAGACTAAAAACGTGAAAAAAAATGTTTTTTTAAAAATTAGCAAATTTCTATTATTACCATCAATGTCCACTTACATTTTATAAAATCCTAATTCCTAATTTTTCCAGTAATTTATCGTAAAAATACTTACAAACTTACACACAAAGCTATATTTTTATTCAAATACAATATTATTATTATTTTATTATTATTATTATTACACTACTACATACACAGTCTACGATTTTGGTTAATTTTATTTATTCATTTATTTATATATTGTTTTAGCGTTTTGTACTAGGAATGTTTTTTCTTACCTATTTATATTAGAATTACTTACGTTATATTTTGTTATGGAATGTAAAAGAATTGTAAAAAATAATAATTTTTATAATTAACGAGTTTAATACTCATAGAAATAAATAATTTAAATAGAATTGGAATAGAAAATATTAGTTATTTTAGTAAATAAAAATGAATAATTAAAACAGGATAAGAGTAAAATAAATTAATTTTTATTGAATTATAAATTTATAATTTAAGATATAAATAAAAGTTTGGCCAATTTTAATTTATATATTTGAAATGTCTAAATATAATTTTATTATCTTTAGATTTACTTTAGGACAGTTGTAAATTATATGATAAAAATTTTAAGAAAAATGCATTAAATTTGTCTATGATACGTGATGAAATAAATAAATTTAAAAAAATAATAAACGAATTTTGAATTTATATATATATATATATATATATATATACATTATATTTTGCATAAAATAAAATTAATCATATTCAGCATTTTAAAATTCTTTAACTGTATTTTTCATATAAACAAATATTATCTTGTTAATTTCAATAAATATATACTCAGGTTCTTTTTATTTAAATAAATATTTACTCATCTTCTTTTTAGTTAAAAAAGCAGTATTTTGTTCATCATAAATAATTTTAATTACTATTCGAAATAGAAATTATAAAAGTGTGATCGTTCATAATTATTTTTTTAATATGGTCTTTTATTCAAAAACTAATTTCATTATTTTGTTTATTTTTTATTAAATTTAACATAATGATATTGAATTAAATCTATCCGGGCATGCTAGTATATATTTTCAAATTTTTCATCAGTATAGATTCAATTTTTCTTTTATTAAATTAATAATAAGAAAATTTTAAACTGAACTGTTTGTCAAATTCAAATTTCAATTAGATAGATTTCAATAAAAGCCACAACAAAGCGTGGCCGGGCCTGCTCGTATATATATTTATTTATTTATATATATATATATATATATATATATATATTTATTTATATATATAAAATAAATAATTCAATGAAAAATATTCCTATAAATCGGCCAAAATTTTGAACACAAATAATTCATATATAAATAACTAAACTATAAATCAACAAAACTCCATAAATAATTTTCGAATAAATAAATAACAAACAATAAAATTTGAATAACAACATTAACTAATCATCACGTAATCATTTCTACTAGGAAGTCATTTTCAAAAATATTAAATATCACATTTTCTTTCCAAAATTCGAGACACAGAACGATTTCTTTCCATTTCATAACAACGTTTCATTATTTCGCAAAAATAT